TCAAATGTCTTCAGTCGAATTGTGGTTTTCAACAGAGTGCCCCCAAGCAGGGAGAGACAAGTGTGGATCAAGTCATCACAGCAATATGGACTTGCAGTGACAGCTTGCAACTGCCACGGGGACCCTGGGCCATGCCAGGGTTATACCAGTTTTGACTGGTATAACAATGGTATAACATTGTGTTACTTGTTGAGTTGAATGATCTTTTTGACTATTAATTCTGGCTATTGTGAGCAAGGTATTTCAAAATCTCTCATTATAATCATATAAAGTCTCCTTCCTGCCTTTATGTATTTAGTTGCTACATTCTTTGATGCCTCCCTTGACTACTATCTCTTCTTTATTATTTGTGCCTTTATCACTACATACAGATGTTCCTTACACTCTAAGTGCTTTTAGCCCGAAGTTCTACCTTGTCTGACATTAATGTTACCACTCCTGCTTTCATTTGTCTTCATTTGTCCAGTGTCTCTTTGCTCACCCTTTTATCATCATCTTGTTTCAAATATGAATCAATATGTCCAATGGGCTGTATCTCTGCATGAATGCTTTCCTAGCACTTCAAACTTTAGCTCTCTAACACTGAGCTCCTCCTTTTCTCCCTAGAGCCCCTTCCTCTTTCTTTTCCATCTCACTCGTGATGGAAAGCTGTTGTTTTGCTTGTCCTGAACAGGGTATCCAGATCCCCTTCTGCCGGGTGGTCCCTCCCCTTGCCCAGCCCAGGAGCCCTGCATGGTGTTTCCTTATGCCCACTTAAGGATGGGCATGTGACTGCCACTGGCCAAGTAGACATCACCTTCTTCTAGCCTTAGGGACCCCAGCACAACTACCATAGTACAAATGGGTCCAAAAAGATGATGGCTGTTTTTCAGAAGAGACTCGTTTTTTAGCCATAATATTTTTTTTCAATTTAAATTCAATTAATTAACATATAATCTATTATTAGTTTCAGAGGTAGAGGTCAGTGATTCATCAGTCTTATATAACACCCAGTGCTCATTACATCACGTGCCCTCCTTAATGCCCATCACCCAGTTACCCCATCCCCCCCAACCCCCCACCCCTCCAGCAACCCTCAGTTTGTTTCCTAGAGTTAAGAGTCTCTTATGATTTGTTTCCCTCTCTGATTTCGTTTTGTTTGATTTTTCTCTCTCTTACCCTATGATCCTCTGTTTTGTTCAGAAGAGGCTCTTTGGAGCACAGACTTTGAAACCAGATGGCTGGCTCAAATCCTAGCTCTGTTTCTTATTTGTAAACTTTGGTCTAGTTACTTAATCTGTCTCAGTTTTCCTACCTACCTCATTCTTGTGACAATCACAAGAATCAATATATGCAAAAAAAATTAGAACAGGGTGTGCCTGGCTGACTCAGTCAGTAGAGCATGTGACTCTTGATTTCAGGGTTGAGAGTTCAAACTCCGTGTTGAGTGTGGAGCCTACTTTAAAAAAATTTAGAACAGTACTTAGGATATAGTGTGCAAATATGGGTGTTAACTATTGTCATTTTCTCTTGCCCCAGGACCTGAGAGATCAAGCCCGGAGCTGTTGGCAGCCCAGGGCATGTGAAGTCTGAGAAGGAACGGAGTCCACATGAAGAAGAGGAGAGCCAAGGGGAGGACAGACCCAGGCCCTGCACAGGCTCGAGCCCTGGAACAAGTTGGTCCCAAACCTGGTCACGCCCAAGATTTTTCAGACATCAGGCAATAATTGCCCTTTTTGTTTAATATTCTGTGACTGAGTGAGAAAGCCTTAAATGACACAACTTTCAAGCAGTGTGCCGGCCTAGAAATGTGGGAGCCATTTCGATTTTCCCCTCTCCCCCACTGTCCACATGCTATGTGGCACGTCTGCACATTCTCCTTCCTCAGTTTCTTCTCACTATGATGCCTGTTCTCCCCTTCCCTAACTCAGGGTTGAAGAAAGAAAATCAGTATTTGCAAATACCCATTATGTACTTATAGACTGCGAGGACATGTTCACTTTCTTTTTCTTTTTTTAAGATTTTATTTATTTATTTGATTATTTGAGAGGGGGGAGAGAGAGAGCATGAGTGGGGGGCGGGCAGAGAGAGAGGGAGAGCAGACTCCCCTCTGAGCAGAGAGCCAGATGTGGGGCTTGATCCCAGAACCCTGGGATCATGAACCGCGCCGAAGGCAGACGCCCAACTGACTGAGCCCCCCAGGTGCCCCCATGTTCACTTTTTAATCCTGACTACAACCCTGTGAGGAATCGGAAGCACGGAGACAGTGACTAACTAGTCCAGGGCCGCCCAGTGAGCCCTTGGTGATTCCAACTCCAGAGGCCACACTTAATACCACCCTGCCATACTATCTTGATAAACATTTGCTGAACAGCTAACCTCGGGAGCAGTACCATAGAACCCGCTCCAGGCAGTACCCCACATGGCACAGGCCAGGGATTACTTAGTCCTTTTTGAAAATGGCAATGACCCTAATGCAGTTTGTTCATGTCAGGAGTCACATACACCCGTCCTGACTATGTTTTCTCAGGGAATGTGTCATTAATCACTAAATCCACCCATTCTTAACTCCAAAGCTTGCTGAGCCTGTTTGCAGAGAGAGAGAAGCAACAGAAGCTAGGTTATGGCCATGCCACTTCCTTTAATCAATCATGAAAAGACTAACACATGGCCCGGTGATGTTCTCAGCATGAATTCACACACGCATGTACATACATGCATGCATACAGACAATCCAGTCTGCTCATCTGTCTTTAAAATACAGCATTCCATGGGGGCTTTCCTGAATAGTCCTGTAAAACTATTTCCAGCTCCATTCCTGGGCTCCTCCTATTGAAAGAGAATCTTCATTGCTTGTCCTGCAGGTCCCCCCTCTCAGTTCCTTAAAATCCACCGAGCTCATGCTGGGACTTCTGCATCTACCGGGATGCTCCTCCCACTTCCTGCACCCATCAGCATCTGCTCTTCCTTTGGCTCTGCTTCAGGGAGGCCCTTCCTGCCCACCCTGTCCAAGGTAAGACCCCCTTCTTACCACCCCCTTAGTCAGAATCTCAGCCCCTTGACAATTTTCTTTGAGACCCTTAGAAAAATGTGCAGCTGTTTTGTCCATTTGTACGTTTACTTAGGTTTTATTTGTGTTTGCACGTGCTTTTCCTTTGTCTTTCTCCTTTATAAGGACGAATCTGGATAGGCATCACAACAGCAGGGAAACTGGTTGTTGCTCTTGTGTCCCTAGTATATTTCATAGGCCCGATGTATGTAACAAATTCTCGATATGTTATTTGTTGGATGAACAGTAAAAAGAATGAGAGACTAGGACATAGGTCCTGGGAGGCTGATTTCACCCCAATCCTAGATGAGCCGGTGTGGCTCTTTTAACCTGCTTGATTGGTATAGATGGGCAAAATGGGCAAAATCCCCCAGACCTGGATTCTTCTCCATTTGATAGATGGATTCTCCTGTTCATGGGTGGCTAAACCATTTACCGCGAATTGTCTGAAAACATTTTCATGTTATCCCACGAGACCCTGAATTTCATGCTTCTGTCTGGCTTGGCCCCAACTGTAAAGTCATGCTAATGACAAAGCCCTACCTTCTTCAGAGGGCTCAGCATCCAGCTGGGGAGCCAGGCAGGTGAGCCGTCCTGCTGTGGAGGAGAGAGGACTTAGGGGACTGGAGTGGAGTCGTGAGGAAGAGCATTTATTATACCGATATTATACCGATATTATACCGATATTATACCGATATTATACCGATAGTGAGTTTTCTACTTAATGGTCCGTGTGACTGTGAACAGTCGAGGCAAATGTCCCTCAAGAGAAGTGAGCACCCAAGAACCCTTTTCCACTTATCTTGTGCCTCCAGGAACAACTCGCTCTCTACACACTTCTAACCTGGGAGGAACAGAAAACAGTTTGAATGACGTGAGTCATTCAAGCTTTCTGTTCAAACACCACAAAAGAAAATACAACTTGTTAGGGTCACACTGATAAGACTGAAGGACATTTTAACCTCTGCTAAGTTAACACATTTTTAGTTAGCAACCTGGAAGCAATTGTGGTTTTATATACAATATTGGGTATCTATGTGCCTATCTAGTGATTCAGTAAGTGAGTCATTCCCTCTTCTGTTCCTCTGCCCAATTCCGAAAAGCTACCTTTTCCTATTACGATTTTTTTTTAAAGATTTTATTTATTTTGAGAGAGCGAGCGAGAACGTGGGTGGAGGGAGGGGCAGAGGGAGAGAGAGAATCTCAAGCAGACTCCCCACTGAGCAGGGAGCCTGACACGGGGCTCGAACCCAGGACCCTGGGATCATGACCTGAGCCGAAGGCAGATACTCAACCGACTGAGCCACCCAGGAGCCCTCCTATTACGATTTTTTGTTAAATCTCTTCTCTTGCTTTCCATCCCTGCTCAGGCCCTCTGCATCTTTCACTCACTATGAAATTGCTCCCAGAGTGGGATCCTTGACATCGGTCTCGCCTTTGAGAACCTGGCCCCACACTGGCACCAGCCAGGTAGCACCGAAATGCCACTGACCACATCCCCACTCTGCCCCCTACCCTTCAATATCCCCTCTTGTCCACGCCACCCAGCTCCTTAGCTTGGAACTGAAGTCCCAGCCACCTGGCCAGAGGAAAGTTGCATATCTCTTTAGCATTTCTGAGACCTCAGACCAGCTGCCCAGTGCTTACTTTTAAACGCATTTCATGCCCCTTAAATGCCTTAGGGATGAATAAATTAGAGAAACCCTAAATAAATAAACAAGCCTTGGGCCTTCATAAAACATGTCGCTGCCTAATCATAAATAAATCTCGCTGTCTAAGGGAGCAATGGTGTCAGGCAAATGTCACAGAAAATAAATATAATGAGATAAAATGCCCTGCCCACTTTCTTAAATAGAAAAATACTGACCCCCAAGGGAGTGGAGACGACTAGATTTCCTTCCTCCAGTCCCACCTCCTGACTTTACCCACCCCTAACCCCACCCTTGCAGACTACAGCCCAAGGCTGTGCCAACAGAGCCGTTGTGTTCCAGAGACTTCTCCTATTTGGCCTGAGCTGCTGTCTTCTAGGTAAGTAGAGTGTGGTAAGTATTACTGCAATACAAAATACCTTTCAGTTGTGTAGGCTTTTTCTTTCCCATCTTCTTTCAAAAGAAAAACAAATTATTAAAAAAATAAACCATAGAACGAGTAAAACCTTACCATGTAATTAACACAAGCCAAGGCAGAATTGCGTGGTAGGTATTCATCATTTGCCTCGTTGAAAAAAAATTTTTTTTAAAACTCATATGTCTGCAGCATGCAGTTGTCTTTTAAATTAAATTTGGCAGTAGTGATCCTAAGAGCCTAGGTATATCGTAGACTGTTTCTTTAAAATGTGCCACTAGAGATACATTTTTAAGAGGAAAAAAACTTTCTTAATCATTGCAGAAGAAATCATTGTGTTACCATTAAGACTGGTGTGTTTAAATGGAATATTTTAAATTGCTTCTAGAAAGTTTCTTATTTTATAATTGGTTTCAGGAATTGCTGTTGGAATTAGTTTGGCTAGTACAGAGGCACGATTTCTGCTTCCATTTTGAGGCTTATTATTATTGTCAGAATTAACTCTAAATGTCTCTGTTTTTATATAACAAAAACAAATTTTTTTGAAATTGTGATGATCTGGCCACTTGTTACCTTTCCTGATTTGTAGCATTGTTGTTCTCAGCAATAATACCACTGCAGCTCAGGGCGTCTGGTGGCTCAGTTGGTTAAGTGTCTGCCTCCGGCTCAGGTCATGATCCTGGGGTCCTGGGATCAAGCCCCACATCAGGCTCCCTGCTCAGCGGAGAGCCTGCTTCTCCCTCTCCCTCTGCCTGCCACTCTGCCTACTTGTGCTCACTCTCTCTATCTCTCTGTCGAATAAATAAATAAAATGTTTAAAAAAAAAATACCAAGGCAGCTGTCCGTAGTTTCCCTGTTGAAGGAATGATAAGCTTTTCTCACTTGCATGATTTAAAGGAAGAGGAAAAAAGAAAGTTTTTTCTCCCTCTTTTGTCCAGATCCCCTAAGGCAAGCACATTTCTTAAAAATGGTTGTTACAAGGGAGGGGGTGGGGGGTCGGGAGGTGGTATTTCTGACATCTAGATGTCTAGGCTAGAGACTTTAAAATCGTGTGTATGAAACTTAAAATTTCTAACAATAAAAAATTTAAAAAAAATAAAAGAAACTTAAAATTTCTAACTTCATACCTTTATTTATTTATTAAGATTTTATTTATTTATTTGACAGAGTCACAGCGAGAGAGGGAACACAAGCAGGGGGAGAGGGAGAGGGAGAAGCAGGCTGCCCGCGGAGCAGGGAGCCCCATGTGGGGCTCGATCCCAGGACCCTGGGATCATGACCTGAGCCGAAGGCAGACACCTAACCAACTGAGCCACCTGTTTGTTCATTTATTTTTAAAAAAAAAACACCCATTGAGCATCTTGTCTGCTTCAGGCTCTGTAGTAGGATAAAAAGTTGACTGGCGAGCAGTGGCGCTGTCACCCTCACTCCAGTAGAAGAGAAGGACCTGAAAACAACTGACCTGATGGGAGTCTTTAGATGTCTTAAATGCACTGAAAAAGTTAGAGTGTGCTCCCTGTCTATACCCTTTCAGATGTAAATAAGTATAAAGTCCAATATAATTATGATTATGTCCCTCAAGGGTTACATTTATTTGAGCAGGGAGGCTAAATATTTTTCTAAAATTTTCTCTCCTTTTTTTACTTTATTGCCCCAGCTTTACTGGTGCCCTAAGGATGGGCTGAGTTTACCTGCTGGTTGGTAACCAACCTTAAGAGCACCTGAAATTGTTAGCAAAATGTAGAGGAAGTCCAGCGGCCTGAGCGGGCATCCCATGGTTAGCCATCAGTTTTATTGAGACATTAGCACTGAATATTGCATGGAAGCTCACTTGGGTTTAACTTGAGGGACTGAAAATGGAGACAAATGTGTGTGAATTTAATGGATGACCCTATTAGCACATTGACCACGTTCTGGAAGAATACATCTGGAGGCTTTTGAGAAAAAAATATTTTATAATCAAGTGTTTGTAGAGTCTGCTGCCTTTTCCCTGAACTAAATTTGTCAATAGTTAAGTGTTTCATGGCCACGAGTAACTGTATTTTCACTGAAGTTTTGAGATCTATTTACACCAACTAGAAGACTCAAAATGGTTGTGTTGTTGTCCTATAAAGTATTGTATGGGTCCTGCTCAAGTTTTAGATTACAGACACCACCCAAACTCAACAACCTGCAAGTTTTGATAGTTGACTTTATGGTTAAGGACCAGCACTATCTTAGCTTGCTTTACTTCCATCACCGGTACAAGTGGGTGACAAGGGGGGCGGGGATTGGGGTGGAAGGGACGCTTCCACCCACTTACAATAAAACAAAATTTAAAATTACTTAACGAACTTCACTGTTTAGCCAAATTTAAAAAAAAAAGTCTGTTGGCGATGTTCTGTACTGGAGTGGATGCAGCTATTGGCTATGTTGACTTACCAGGTAAGGGACCTCTGGCCCGCATATTTAAAAAGGACAGGTAATTCCAATTCAAATATGAGTCACAGCAAGATTTAAAATAGAGTGCTATGCTGCATAGCTCTTCTAGTTCTTTTAGCCAAAATATTAAGTCTGAAACATCTACAGGACAGCTGTCCTGTAGATGCAGTAGATACCAGATAGGCTAAGCATGGGAGAGCCAAACCCTCTGCAGGTCCAGTTGCTGGTGATACCCTCTTCTCCTTTTGAGATTCCTCTCTGCTGAGCTCCTACTGGAGACAAAGAGTTCCAGGAAGGACATGAAGAGAGAAACAGAATAAAGGCAATACATGAGTCTGGGGAAATAGACCATTGCCTAAGTGAGGGATCTGGTTTTAGTTGAGGGATTTTAGGATATTTGCATATGAGTTGTGACTTTTAAGTTAACTCAAAGATTGATTCACTCAATTAATAATATTTTAACCTTTAATTCTGCAGACGGAAATAAATTGTGGGATGAGCTGGAAGAATTCCAATTAAACTCTTTCTTAGAAAGAAAGACCCTCTCTGCTCTTCTACACGAACTCAGGAGTCATAGCAGGGGTCTTAACTAATCAGATAATAATTCTGAGCTAGAGCACAATGATTGGCTATCACTTCTAAAAGAGATGAATGCTTGCTCCCCAAGTGTAATAAACAGCAAGATCTACCCTGTAGGAGAAATGGATTTATTGCCATATTTAGGAGAATATTCATTAAAATATAGTCCTGTGCATGAATTATTTTTTATTGGACTAAACATAAGGACATACATCACAAATTTCAATAAGGTTAATTTTTGAATGGTGGATTTATGAGAGATTCTTTTCTTTTGATATTTTTGTGATTTTTTAGAGTATCTTCATTGAACATATTATTTTGACTAAATTTTTATAATTATACATGTTTGCAGTAAAAATTTAGGTGGTAGGGGAAATTTGAAATTGGGGGGGGAAATGTGTGTTTTATTTTTGTGTAAAAGACTTAAGCTCCACTACTTCAGTACTCAAATCTTCATTTCGGCTAGACTTTCTTTAATACGGTGATTTTCAACCCTCACCACACCTTGGAGTCACCTGGGAAGCATTAAACATATCCGCTCCAAGGCCACTAACCCCCTCGCCCAGACCAATGGGTCAGAATCAGAGTGAGGCCAAGTGGTTGGTATTTGTAAAAGGTCAACTCTTTGCGCTATCTACGATTCCATGTTGCAGTTCTTTGATCTCCATAGCACTGCCCAGGAAGTTAGTTACTTAAAATTGAACTCCAAGGGTGTTTTACTGCCTTTTTTTATTGCCACAGTGAGTAGGTTTTGCTAACACCTGATATAAGCATTTTCCAGATTCTACAGTGCACAGCTTTGGGACTTTGATCACTCCTCTGCTCACATGCAGCTCATTAGTACATGCAGAAGATATACCTCTTAACAAAATAGTATCTGCTTCTTTTAAATGCTCATTTAAATGTCAATTGTAGTCTGTATTGGCCATTTTTCCTTTCTCAGTTTCCCCACTGTTCACTTGCTAAAGCAGGCCCAGAACAGGTTTCTGAGGAAAATGCAGGCCTTCTCACAAATATGCCTTTAGCTTATCTCCATGTTGAGTTAGGATAGCCATTAGCTCACCTCCATGCTACACCAGGGTGCCTTCTATTCAGCTGTGTGGCCTGGCTGCATCATTTCATTTTTATAACCATGCATTTGCCTTTATAACCATGTCTTTCCTTCTGCATACCTGTTCCTATGCATAATAAGCAGCCCTCATGGGAATCTGAACTTGGGTTCTCACCAAAGACTTCTAATTCAGTCCCATTGGTGCCCAATTTTTATCAAATCCTAGCTGGTGAAAATACTGCTCATGGAGGGTTGTCCAAGAATATACATCCACGTGTCTCTCTGAACAATCTACATTTTAAATCTGATTTTTAATCCTGAATCATCCAGATGATTAGAGAGATAAGGAGTTCCCTGGGATCATGTTAGCTGCTCATCGATTGCTCTCAGTGAATCTACACCAGCATTGCCCTTTAACCCTATAGTAGGAAATAAGTTCTCAGAAATCACTGTTCTGTTTATTGTAAAGATACTGTTAAAGGCTTTGATCACCTCATGTCATATATCATCTCCTTTTTGAAGACCCTGATGAGAAATTTCTCTAGGTGTCAGTCTATTTTTATTTTATAGACATGGTCAATTTCCTAAATGTTTGTGTTCCCTCTTTGCTTTGCCTGGCAGGGAGCCCAAAACTTCATACACAGCCCATGTCCAACACTGTACAGGATTCTTAAAGCATGTGCTAAATTTGCTCCAGACTTTATTTTCCCTGTGACCGATTTCTTCATTTTTCATTTTGTATCTTGTTTTATATGTAAGTTTGTAAGCTGCTCAAATCTTCTTAAGAACAAGATGAGAGTATGAATCAGAGTTTCTCAGCCTTGACACTGTTGGGCCAAATAATTTATTGTTGGCCCAATGGTGGATTTTTAAATGGGGAGTTTGGAGGAAAGAATGGGAGGTGCATCCTTGACCTCTATCCACTAG